GGGTGTCATGGTTGTAAAAAATGGAGCGTAGAAAAAAGTATTCATTGATGCACTAAATATTTACATGCACGTACTTATGTATATGAAAATACAAACATGTATATATATATATGTATATGAACATTCCTACTCACATAATGCCAAACTTGTCAAACAGAAAACAATAACAAATTACCACTTCCATACATAAATATTTTCATAACAAAGTAGATATACATACATACCTTAACATTGAAAAAACATTTTGCTAATTTCCTGTGTCAAAAAATATTTTCAATTTCTGATTAGGTTATAGGTTGTTCACACGGTGTCGTAAGTGTCGTATTGTCGTAAAGTTTTTAACGACTAAATAATTGTTTACAGGACTTGAAATCACAGCCACTTATTTTTTAACGGTGTGAAATTTCATAATACGACTTTTATGGTAGCTTGCGACTCCATTAACCCTCATCAGTTCTTAGGGTCAAAATTGACCCATTTTAAATTTTGTTACCTTTACCGTTACCGTTACCTTTCTGTTATCAAGATTTTTGCACTGAATTTATTCTTCTACGTTAAAAACAAAAAAAAAAACACCTTACAAGAAGAACTGACGGTAGAACCATTGTTGTTGTTTTTGGTATTGTTTGTTTGAGAATTGAACTGGCTTTAAGCTGCACTAAATGGTTAAAGTTGAAAAATGCTATTCTGTTGACCGTCCACAAATCCATACATATGTATGTACATTAGGGTGGTCCAAAAATGTATGGGAGAAAAGTAAAATCGGAAATTTAATGCTCTCACCCCCTAGGATTGTTCTATACCGAAAAAAAATATATATAATATATTTTGATTTTAAAATAAAAAAACAGGGGTATATTTTTTTCGGTATAGAACAATCCTAGGGGGTGAGAGCATTAAGTTTCCGACTTTACTTTTTTTTTTGACCACCCTAATGTACATACATACGAGTATGCACGGTCATACATACATTTACATACATATGTATCAGCATTTACGTGTCTTATTGACGGAGAACTAAAGTTACGATTTTTTCACTTATGTATATATTTAATAATAAATTAACTGAAATTAATTTTTTTTTAAGAGTTATGTAACTCTCAATGCAAATACGAGAAACTAAATATTTTCTAACAATATGCATGTACATTGTACATACATACATAACTACGTACATATGTACATCTATCAGAAATGCAGTTTGTTACATGGTATGTATGTACATAGGTATGTTTGTATGTAAGTATGTATCTACAAATGTGCTTACCATTGAATATGTAGCCATATGTTTAGGAGGTAAGTATGTCTACTATATATATGTAAGTACTATGTTTAGAAAAGTAAACTTCAGTTTAGTAACTTTATAGGTCAGCTTATTTTTAGAAATAGCGTGATTACCTCAATTACGTACATATGTTTGTTTAACCGATTTTACATGTGGAATATATAAAAATATACAGTACGTAACTGACTTGAGAAAATTGTCTGTCATTTAGTATATGTACATACATATGTATGTATTTGTATGTTTAGGTTTTAAGTACTCATAAATGGATTACATATTGGGTCATCCCCATATATGTAAAAAAACTTTGTATAGTTCTCTGTAGTTCGAAAGTTTCCTTGAAGGACAATCCAACTTCAGGCGAAAGGCGAAAGGCCTGAAGTGAGCTAAATACTTAATAGATTTCTAAATGCTAAAGTAACTAAGAACCGCCAGTTTGTACATAATTTAAAATGGGCACGTCTATTTTAAACAGCCATGGAAATGTCGCCAGCTTCATGTTGCCAAAGTGTTGCAGTTACATGTTGCAAATGTTGCTCATTCTGTGTTCATCATACGCCTAGGGGCCACTCGGCATCAAATTCAATTGGCGAGGGTGCTTTCATTAGAACCTTACGTTGCTAGGTTATTCTTAAAAATTAACACTCTTATCGTAGTTGGTTACAAGTTTACAGTGTTCACAAACGAATTGACATTAAGTAAAACAAGCAATTCAAAAGTCAGTGTACTTTACAAGTATTGTTTTAAAAAGCACAAACTTGTGAAAAATTGCTATTTACAAGCAAATGACTTGTATTACAACACTTGTATCTATTCAGAAACAGGCCCCAGGTAATCGAAAAATTCGTATCAGTGAGCAATCTATAAAATAAGTAATAGGTAGTATCTAGCTCTAAGTGAAACAAATCGGATTCTTTAATGGAAGATGCAGAGGTATTTTATCTTATTAAAATAATTTTATAATTATTAGAAATTGCATGAAAAAGCACTGTGTGCAGGAAATAAATATATAAAAAAGGGAATTCTGTAGAAAAGAGATGAAAGTAGGGTAAATGACCCGATTTTTAGAAACCGGTTTCCTCCGGTTTTTTTGGATATCTATAGGCGGTTTGTTTGGAATCTTAACGTTTCGAATATCGAATGAACCGGATTTTTTTGTAGAACAACCAACATATTTGATTCCAATACATTAGGGCTGTGCGATTATTCGATTACCCGAGCAAGTTGGTTAATCAATTATTCGGTTCAAGATTTTGATTACTCAAAACGATGATTAATCGAGTTACTTGAAATATGATTACTCAAAAAAAATAATTTTGCTCGTTAAAAGAGTTTGCTTTGGAAAATGTTTATTTTCTTTTTTACATTCTGTATATGAAGAAAAAAAATTCGTTTGAATTTTTGAAAATAGAAACGTTGTTTTCAAAGTATCAAGGAACTTTAACTACCTATACATATGTAAAGAGTTGAAATGTTGATTACTAATTTTACTCGAAATGTTGATTAATCATAAAGCAAATTACTCAAATTTTTTTTTTTTTTTTGGTTAATCAAAAATCTTTATTACTCGAGTAACTGAACTTTTGAGTAATCATAATTTCTAATTAATCGAATAACTGAGTTATTTACTTTATGATTAATTAAAATTTTGAGTAATCAATTAATCGTACAGCCCTACAATAAATTAATGTTTGGCGCATGTTTTGGCCGAGTTTCTCCTTCAATTCGTTTTCTGCTTCTTGATGTTGTGACACAAATGGATGGATGTACACTTAACTCAACATCCGAAGATCCTTTTTTATAGCAGAAATACACTCGGAGTTCTGCAGTTGTTCGCCGGGGACGGCCGCTATTTTGAAAAACTTTTTTTGATGTTGCAGTGGCTGTTGCAGTACCGAGTGGTTGGAGGCACCTCTAAGCACTTGGTAGAAATATGTAATAAAGGATTAAAAAAGTCGAAATAGCCAAAACTGCTCAAAATGTCACTTAACTTAGGGTCAGTTTTCATTGCACGGCTGTGGTTTCAACTAAGATTAGCCCATCAAATGTCAGCCAGCTGTACAATTTCAATGCAGTTTACGTAATCTAAGTTTAAAGTGGCACTGAAAAACTGCCCATTCATCAGCTGACCGCTGTACATATGTACATTTAAATTTTTTTATATATTAATTTTTTTACGAGCAGAAAGCATCGAGAGCCTATACCCGTCGGTGCAGGACTTTAACTTTACATACGTTCCTTTGTACATATCGAGCCTTAACCGCCGAAAAAACGTAAGCGACATATTTTCTTTGATGCAGGAATCTCTGCATCAAAAAAGAAAATTTTTAAAAAAATTTCGCTAACGTTTTTTTTTTGCAGTTAGGGCTCGATTTGTTTGCACATGTACATATGTATGTACATCCAGTACTCAAAGTTTAAGGATGGATCTAGCACGATTGCTTGCATTTACAATTTTAGATCGTATTCTTTTGCTCTAGCGATTGCTACTATTGAACGACTAAAAATACATATGTACGTACGTATGTATGTATGTATTTTCGTATGGCGTCATTTTTAACAGGTGTTACTTTTTCTCTGTCATTGCCGTTACGAATTACGAATTAATGCTTACAAGACGTCAGTGCAAATGTATTCTAGGGTACGTGATCACACAGTGCATATTCATGAATACATACATACATACATATGTATGTACATATGTATGCAATGGGAGTAAGATGGAGTGAGAGCAGAAAGCTCTCCGGCAAGCCCAGATCGACCAATGCTGTGACAACGCTGATACTCGTAGATGCAGCAAACAGTTCGAGCAGTTAGAAAGAGCTTAAAACCAGTTTTAAGTTATTATGTACATATCTATCCAAGAGTGTATGTACGATATTTTTCACATGTACAGTGATGTTTATGTAAATATTAATGAAACCAATGATAATAATTTTATTAAAAATTTAAGACTCAATGCACTTTTCCATGACTAATGCTTTTAAAACTTGAACGAACGATTATTTTTGGGGAATTACCACAGGATGGAATATATAAAAGTCATATAACCGGTGCCGTATCAAAATGTCATTTTGAGAGCATATATATATACATTCCAAATCCAAATTTACATATATATCCCCTTACACGCTTTGCATACCTAAATACTGGGGCGTGGTAAAACTTCATTGCGCACAAAAACTATTTAAAAGAGTTATAAATTCACCTGAGGTTATTTATGTTTTACATAAATTATTTTTAGTTATGCGTTATTTGTTTGTACAGATGTATGTATGTATGTATGTGTGTATGTACGTATGTTCTTGGTAGTGTGTATGTTAAGGTTAGTTTTTTACTTGAACACAAAACGTTATTATGGAATGTGGTTCACCTCAGCAAATAACCGATTTTTTT